GACTTATCGTCCATCCACACTCTTGGAGACGAAGGAATAACTCCTCGAGATCGCGCATGTGATCCTTTAAATTTTTAGAGAACACGATGATGTCGTCTATGAATACGAGCACATTGCGCCACTTCATGTTGGCCAATGTCAAATCCATTGCACGCTGGAACGCGGACGGCGCGTCCTTCATCCCAAACGGAAGTACCTTATATTGAAAGGTAAATTCCTCTCCTACCATGGTAGTTTTTGCTCTGTCTTCTGGCTTAATTTTTATCTGCCAGAACCCCGATTTTAGATCAATTTTCGAAAATACTGTCGCCTTATCTAGAGCATTTAAAATATCATCGACGCGTGGTAGTGGATACGAACTACCAAGGAGGCGCTCATTCAATTTTCTGAAATCAACCGTAAGTCTTCTGGATTTATCCTTTTTCTTCACTATACATATAGGACTTCCCCATGCTGAATTTGTAGGCTCGATTATCCCATCTTTTATCATTTCAGCCGTTTTGGCCTGTAACCACTTCCTGTCTTCAAACGAAGTCCTATACGGCGGCGTCCGTACCGGCGCACTATTTCCAGTATCCACTGAATGCTCATATATCGTACAGCATCCAACCGGACGTGCTTTAGTGGGCAGTACAGCTTTTGCTTTATAGAAAATTTCTTTTAACGCCTGTTTATCCGGACAAATATCTCCGATTTTAATTTTGAAAATGTCTCTTCTGTTTCAGGATCAACTGCGTTATTTGGAACTGCGTTTTGGATCTGGATTGCACGGCATTCACATATTCTTTCCTGTACCGGCACTCCGTTATTATCCCTCGGTACGCGGCAGAATTCATCATGATAATTTTCATTATATTCTGGTGTGTCAATCTGATACACCTCGTCAACGGCGACGATACTTCCCAGGTTCGTATCTTTATTTAAAATTAATTGTTTATCAGATACATTCATAACGCATACACGGCAATTGCCTTTTTCATTCAAAGATACGACACCATCAAATAGTAGCGCGTTTTTATTATTTTCGGGAATTTTCCCTTCGTACAGATACGGCTTTGTCTGCAAATTTGCCTCGTTAAATCGTTGCAGGCTTTCCGGTGATAGATCCGTCGTTGCCCGGATAATTCCTTGACTGTGCGGCTGAATTATAACGGGTAAAACCGGAAATAATTCCATCTTAAAGAATTCCACTGGGCCAGGTTCCGGCTCAACACTATAAATATCCATTTCTGGTAGTATCATGTCGTGTGATGCACTGTTTTCTGGTTGACTTGTAGTTGCTTCTACTTGCTGAATGTGTGCTCTCTGTATGCCGGCTCCACACCATCTCGTGTACACACAAGCGGGGATTTCCGTCGATTCCCGTACATCCTGCGATCTTTTAGGCAAGCTATGACGCACCACTTCCGGCGGTGGCTGGCTTTCCATTGCCAACTGCTTTACCGTCTGCTGCTGTATGCGATACTGTTTTCGGCGGCGGCTTGCACCCGATTTCCTTTTTCTACGCACAAAGCCTGCCTGATCATCCGATTGTGATTCCACTGGGCTGAAAATTCCTGAGTGAAATGAATTGTCCGCGAATTCCACTGGCGGCGGAATGACCATGTTATTCTGCTGTATTTGATTCCATATCCGGTGCTGCTCTTCGATACTGACATCTGCTATTGCAGCTTGATTCAACTGGATTTCTGGGTTACTCCAGTCTGGAATTATCTTCTTCCTTTGGCCATGAAATGCCACCGACGGATCCGGCGGAGCTCCAGAAAATACTACCGTATCACTTGGACTTAATTTGGCCATCGGCCGCACTGCCGAGATATCCAAACCGAACGGTAATTTTGACAGCGCTTGCTCTTGTGTTAATTGTTGCTTCTCCGCCTGTCTATCCTCATAGGAGACCGGAACTCTTCCCATGTCAATTGGCTGCATACTTGGCTCAGATATAAACCTGCCATTTTCAAACTCACCAGCCGGAGCAGGATTCTCCGGAGAAAACGTAACCTTTTTCTTCTTCTCCTGTGCGGCTAAATGTTCGGTACGGTGCGTACTCATAAAATGCTGTCGTAGATTCATTGAATTACGGCACACTTCACATTCTTTTTCGTACTGTTCAATCTGAATAATAATATCCGGCCAATAGAAAATTTTTACGAGATAAGGATATAATTTTTCCCGTGGTCCGTAGACCTGATTATGAATTAACAGGTCGTGGAATTTTGCAATTAGTTTCTCCCGCCACTGAAATGGCACATAAATTCGCGGACATTGACCATCATGATCGGGGATACGACAGATTAACCCTTCAAACGTGAGTAAACGGTTCAACTCGTACTTCAGAAAGTTTGTGCTGGCATTTTGCGGGCTATTTAAAAGCCTCAACCACATCCGACTATCCATACAGTTCTGCTGCTCTTTTTTCCAGAATTCCACATCCCGGAATTCTTTCTCTGTCGGAAACCTGTCTTTGTCCTGCGGCCTGGTTGGCGGCATCATCCATCTCATCAATTCTGGGTTTCTCGCAATGCGTGGCGGATATTCCCGATCGTGCGTCTCATCGACGTGTTGATGAGTAAAATCAATCGGTACAACGTTGAGAACCTTATTGCCGAATACCACGCATTCAACCGTTTTATTTGTCCTTTTAGGGAAACCCGCAAACGTATACTGTTCATCCGGTAAAATGTGTAACAACGCTGCCAACGTGGTGAGAGATTTAATTGGTTTATTATCACCCCCACAAACTTGACTAGCATTTATCGCTAAACAGCGCCCCGTTTTATTTGTCATTTCTTTTTCAGATGCGTTGGGCACTGTCGAAACTGGCTGCTGCTGCCTTTTATCCTTTTTCCTGTTCTCCTTACTTTTCTGTTGCGGCTCACCGCCTCCCCCACAAACTTGACTTGGACTGGGAGTTACTTCCATTGCCGGTACGACAGGTTCTGTTATCTTTGGCTGTACATATCCTTTGACTGCTTCCTTTACAGCTTCTTCCAAGAATTCCTTATCCCTTTTATCGGATCCGGGTGGCATCGGTTTGGGCGCCATGTTGTGTGAGGCCATGTCACCGGACTGGTTTTGCTAAACTGTCCGGTTTCGGCGGCCGCGGCCATTCTTCCTTTGCTTTCTGAATATGCATTAGGCATATTTCCGGCTTCGCTTTTGCCAAAATCAGGTGAGCTGATTCGTATGGCACAAACTGTGCTTCCTTTGCGACGCCGATTCTCTCTGTAAGCATTAATGCTGGGATAGACGGCGACGGTTTCACACCAGGCGGAATTAATGGGTCGAAATGATGCGCCCGGATAATATCTGCCATGTGGTGGGTTTTCCGTGGGTGCCAATCTGGCGCTTCTGGATGACGACGGGAGAGTCTCCAAGTCATCGTGTTCATATCCAATATAAACGGCTTAGTTGCCAGGAAATCCAGACCAAGGACAATGTGATCCCGGTCAAAATTAGAGCTGACCAGCAGGGCATGTTCAAATGCCATACCAAACTCGTGAATAGTGACCAACACCGACATTGGTTCGATCACTTGCCGTCCTTGGTAAGCTGTATGTACCACTCTTCCCTGAATATGATCTGGACACCGGTGTATTTTTAAGTTCATATCTTTCGCCATTTTATAAGACATTACAGAAATACTGGAACCGGTATCTATCATCGTTTTGATTTTTTTATAGTTCACATCAATCACGGAATACCACGCCTGTGCGTCCAGTGTCGGCATTAAGCACACATGATCCGCCAATGGGTATTGATTTACGTCCACCACTTCCACTGTATTACACTGGATGGGAGGAATATCTAAACCCGCAGGTAAGTCAAGTTCCATCATGTTTATTTGTGGCGCATTAGCTCTGTTCAAAATTTCTGGTGTTGGCTCATAAAGCCTGGGAATAGCTAGCGGATTTCTACACGATGCTGCTGCGTGTAGCGCATGACAACGGAAACAGATTTCTACTCCCCGGGCATTCGCCCATTTTTCTTTAACTACATTACGTTCGTCAAACGGTGCGACTTCTACCTGATTAGGCTGCGGGGTATTTTGCCTAATATTCTGATTATTTTGAAACGGCTGCCGATAATTATTGCTATTATTTCCGCCCCGCTGGAAATTATTCCCGCGAAAATTATTCCCGTAATTATTTGGTCGGAAATTACCCTGATTAAATCCACCGTTGTTATTTACAGGTCCGTTCGGCCGGAAATTCTGGAAATTCTGCATCAGTGGAGGCGTGGGCTGCATTTGTTGCACTGGGGCTGGCGGTTGAGCCTGCATCTGGGATTGCTGCTGAGGCTGCATTATCGGTTGTTGAGGGAATGACTGCCCGTACTGCACTGGTTGCATTTCCATTACTTGTGGCTGCTGATACACCGGATACGGTATATATTGTACTTGCGGCTGGGATACGTTCGGAACTGGGATAGGCTGCGCCTGCGGCGGCGGCGGCGGCGTTTGACTTTCTGTCTGCACATTCTGATAATTACCCGAACCGAAGTACGGCCTGGAGTATCCTCCACGATAATTCCCACGGTTTCCTCTGGTCGAGTAATAATTTCCACGTGATTGGAATTCACCACGACCGGTACGATTTTCTGGTTCATTTCCCGCACTCCGCGGTTCTCGAATTGTTACCCTTTGCTGAGGTTCATCCTCCTTTTTATCACCATCCAGTATTTTTTGTAATTTCTCACAGTCTTGTAACTGCGATTCAAACTCTTCGTACGTTTCCGGTCTGTCTTGGTATATTGTCCTGTACCATCCTTTTCTATATTTTTTCAGACCTTCCAGAAGGACTTCAATCTTCTCTTCTTCCTGTATTCTCAGCTCCTTAAACCAGATAAGGAAACTGTCCAGGTATGAGCGCACTGTTTCATTTACTTGACAGTGTCGATTATTCATTGCCCTTCTCATTTCTGCCTTAGAGGACGCACCGTTAAAATGCTTAATGATAGCGGGCTTAAAAAATTCGTTCCAAGTTCTTGTTTTATTATCTTTATACAGGTCTGCAAACCAAACGTAGGACGGTCCTTTAAATGCACCGGAAATTGCTCTGCATGTCTGCTTGTCATTCCACCCATTTGTGGTACGACATTGATCAACGGAAATCAACCATTGTTGTATCCGTTCTGGCCGGGAATCATCGAAGTTTTGTAATTTCATGCCGGATTCTGATTTATCCGTGCCTCTCTCGGTTAATTTCTCCAAAATGTCCACTATTTTTCCTTCCGTTTCCCGTTGTCTTTGTTCCCGTGGATCATTGTAAATAATTCTTTGGGAGGAACCAGAGGAAGTTGATTCTGTCGCACTCGGCGGACGACGGTGTTCGTCATCACTCTTTCCCTCTTCATCACTTTCATCCTCATCTGTTTCTCTGCGACGGGTACTCTTTGTCTTTTTCCTTTCCATTTCAATAGTGTGCTTTTGCAACACTTCTTTTCTTAAAATAGTGGGCGGATTTTTCTTTAATTTAATGAAACTTTCCTTTGTTTTAGTAACCTCTGCTGGTTTCTCTGACCGTTTAACTGATTTGGACGACTGTGCCGCGCTGGGCTCACGGTGAGTATATGACGGGTTCACTTCCGACGGGGCAAAAGTTTGCTGATCGTGGCGATCGTTATGTGTCAGGGGCATATCATCCCCCGTACCCACCGGCGCTTCCGGTTCAAAATGTACTTCCCTTGCAGCATATTGAGCCTGGTTTCGGTAATGCCGTACTTCTTCCTGCAATTCAGCATACGCAGCTTCCCCATTGTGCAAATGTTGCTGTAAATTGTGGATAGTTATCCTACACTGATCACTTTCCGTCCTAAGACGATCCACTTCCGTCTGTTTCAGGTAAGCTGCAGCCTGCGCTTCTTTCGCTTCCTTTTCTAACTCGGCACACTTTGTACATGCTTTATTTACTCTTCGTTCCTTCTGTAATTTTTCCTTTTCCGCTTTTTCTGTAGCAATTTCCGCCTTATATTGCTCAATTGTTGCCAACAATGTTTCTTCTCTGTCCTTAGAGACAGCCGCCGTTGCCGCTCTTGACGAGGACAGGTACATTTCGTTCTGAGATTTAACCATGGCCAGTTCTTCCTGTAACTGTGCCACATAATCCACATCTGGATTAATTCGCTTTTGTTCCTCCGACACCTGCCTCCGCAATGATTCAATTAAATTCGTGTCCTGTCGATTTTTGTTTGATAGTTCCGTGTAGGCATCTCTCTGTTGCTGTAACTCCCTACGCAACGTACTCGCCTGTTCTGCTAATTTGTGATTTTGTTTCTGCAGGTCAGCGTTTGCCTGCTGATCAACCTTTGAATTTCTGGACGATTTAATTGCATCGTACTCCCGCCGGAGTTCCTCCATTGCATTCTCCATATTGCGGTTATCGTCTTTCAATTGTTGGTATTCCTCCAATAATTTTTCGTATTCTTTTTTGTCCTTTGCCGCGTTTTCCCGGTAATTGTCCAAACTCTCATTCAGTGAACGGTTTCTATAGAGTGCAGTGTCCCGCTCTTTACAAGCCGTTTCACATCTTTTTCTCATCTCGTTAAAGTCCGACTGGAATTTTAATTTTGCCTGTTTCTCTTCCTGTAGAAGCTGATCCATACGCTTAGATTCACCAATGGAATCTAATTTTATCTTTGCCTGTGCCACTATTCTCCGGATTCCACGCAGGAGAAACGGAAGTGACTCTCGTGCAATTTTCTCCAAATCTTTTTCTGTTGTGGCTGTAGCTAATCTGTCATCGACACTAGCGGCCTGCTCCATGAATTCTTCATCCGTAAATTCAAAATCTTTATCTGTGAGGAATCCCTGCAATCCCACTTGTGATGCGTGAAATGTGGAATCACCTGTACGGACTATTTTCATCCTTGGTAAGTCAGACACGTCATCCAGTTTACTGGCTGGTGATTCATAATCAGAGGAGTGATCATCCTCTGTTTCCATCATTGCTTCATTAAAGTCAATTAAACTTCCCACCGAGATTGGTTCATTCCCATTCCCTATATCAGGCTGAGAGGGCGCCTCCTTTGGTGCCGACTTCTCTTCCTGATTTATGACTGTATCTGCAACCTGCTCCTTTGCGGATCGGGTTGACGGTTCTGAACCCTGCGGTGTTTTTTCTTTCTGATTCGCTAGCTGCTTCCTGGCTTCAATTTCTTTTTTGAATTCAGGCACCTTCTCCAGTGCACGCTGGGCAGCTGCCTTAAATTCTTCATCTGTGACGTATTCCTTAATGTACGGTTCGGGAATACACCTATCTGTCGTTAACCAATTCTTGATATAATTGGGCCGTTTCCTTTGATATTGTGGTAATGTTGGATCTTCCTGATACTGAACCCAAGGTTTCCCGCAATACTGTATATCTGGCACTTCAATGCCCAATTCCCGATACATCAATTCCAGTGGAATTACATCCACGTTAAATTTGAACCTTTTCTGATTCGATGCATCATACGGTCCTTTCGCATACAGTGCAAGAATTTTCGGGTCAATCTTTATGATCGCCCTCGATTTTTTCTTCCCTGTATCCGACATGGTGTAGCTGTATCGCGAGATTGGTCGTTAACCTTTGCGGTTAAACTCCCCAATTAAACTACAATTTGTTTCCTTTATTTCGGCGATTGTGCCAAAATACAGCAGCGCTTTTGCCGCCTTTAATTTCTGCTCCCGTTCCTCCTTTTAGGTTTGAAACGGTATGCAGTAAATTCCTATTAATTATTGTGGGCGACCTTTGCGGCCTTCCACCACAATTTTATTTTATTTAATTCCTACTGCTGCAGGTCAGTCACCGACTGCCTGTTTTGTTTACGTTTTAGCCGCCACTGCTGGCTGCTGATTTGGCTACCGATTTCGGCTGCCTTTTGTTTGCACTGCTGAAGATTTTATCTAGGCTGGCCGGTTACAATGGCTTTAGCCCTGATGTAATCTACAGCTACTGACTGACTGCAGGCCAGGCACACTGACACTGCGATTACACTTTATTCACCGCGGTTACTGCTTTGCGCAGCTAACCCGGAAATTACCCACTTTTCTCTTCTTTCTTTTAACACCGTAGCCGACTTTTAAGGTTTCGACTACTTTTCACTGCAATAATTTCGGTCCGAATTAAATCAATTAAATTACTGGGCGAGGAAGCTCAGCCCGGTGTGGAAGCACACCCAATGCGTGGAAGCACGCTTGAAATAAAACCCTAGGCCAGATCAGGAACGCTGACCTCCTTCGGCGTACCTTTGCGGTTCAACGCCTTTCTACGGACCATTCAAACACTCAAACCACCATCAAAATTCCATCCACGATTTTACTGTAACATCGGAAAATCACGAACCATCGGTGGGCGCCATGTCGTGTGAAGAGACTCTGTACGGTTTAGTGTAAGAGACTAACCACTTCCCTGCCACGACTCAATCGGTAGAGCAACTCTTAAATCAACTGTTACAATAGAAACTGGAGGAAACTATCAGGAACACGAAGAATCTGGAATCCCTAAGCAATTGTGCCGGATACTCCTAACTTCCGGTCGTTACATATGCGGGTCGGACGTAGTACGAGCATACCGTGTTTACCACGCTATAATCCGATACAAATTACGAACGTCGATAATCACAGAAGATGCTTTACTCCGCTAACACACAATCATATGCACAACTCAGGAAAGTTAAAAGCAAGTAGTCTCGAAATCTGAAATCCAAGACTGCTACCGATATTAGAGACGACATGAATATTTATAGACTAAAAGAAGTAAACATCAAATACACCGCTAAGCCATAACTGAGTAACGAATCACAGAACTGATTAACTGATATCCGTGTTGCAGGTAAAGGCGGACAGTCAGTGGATGTACGGTGGAATCCTCGTACGTACTCCTCTCCACACGTCAACCCCATGTCGTGCGAGTAGTTGTCCTTGGCGAAATATGAGTCATCAATGACGCTTAAGTAAGAATAACGATGTTTGTAAACCGATTAAATTATTAAGCTACGTAAATTATTCGGCATGGCGAAGTCGGAATAATGTTTACAACCTGATTAAACTTCTAAGGTGATTAAATTAATAAGCATGAGGAAGTCGGCATGGAGCTTTGAATCTGATAAATTATTAAGGTGAATATTAAGGTAGACAGCATCGACAAAGTGGCATACTGCGGAAATCGTTAGAGGTATCCCTTTACAGACCCAGTCTGGCGACAGGGTCTTCATCTCACGATGGCATTTCCTAAAAAAAAGCTGTAACTGGTTTCTCGAATCCAACATTTGTCTTTGCAATACGATACTCAAAACATTGTGATAGCAAATTTTACCGGTCAAATTAGATTCCTACCCTAGAGCGAATGGATTATATAAACTCGTGGGTTGTAACAATGAGCAGAACTGCGAGTGTAGAACATTGGGCTTTTCCGATTTCGAGATATACTCAATAAATAATATTCTTTTAGCTTTTAAGTTATTGTGAAATTTATACTAATTACATGCAACCGCTGTATCGGACTACGATAATACTCCCAATTGTGCAATATACTAAAGCAGCAGCCTAATATTATGACTTTCTTCAACAACACTACAGCGCAGAACGCCAGTCATGCAGCCTCCACACCACCCGGCTGGACTCCACTACTATTAACGTCAACAGTCATTGCCTGTGCATGCTTCCTCTTCAATGTCATCGTATTAGTTGTGCAGCTCCTCCCGCAAACCCGGTTCACATCCTTTACCAACTACCTCATCGCTATCTCCGTCGGGAATGTTTTATGGTTAATCGGCGTGCGCCCGCTGTCCATTTACAGCGCGGTCACGGGCGTCTGGCCCGGCGGCTATGCCGTGTGTGCAACGTTCTCGTATTTCCAGTTTGTGGAAAGCCAAATCCCCGTGTTCGTCCATGTTCTCATATGCATCAACCGCGTGTGGGCGATCACTTATCCCGTCTCATACCGCCGACGTCACAACTTCAAGATGGCAGTTTTATCATGTCTGGCAGTGTTGGCATACGTCCACGTTCCGCAGTTTGCCAGGTTCGTATTGGAATACTTTTATTACAGTCCACCGGTTAAGCCCACTGACTGCCAGCCCGGTGCCGGAGGATACTGATTTGGCGACGCATCGATACCGTACTCCATCGCGCCGTTCCTGTGTTCTGGTTTAGCTATTCATGTTTATATCATTTTCAAACGGTGGCAAAGGCGCGAACGGCAGGTTATAAATCCAGCCGGCGGGTCAGAAAGGTCACCAGGGATGGTGCCCCGTTCGACAGTTAAGCGACGGCAACGGTAAGTGAAGCCCTTCGTTATTCTGACTGCTACGACAATAACGGTTCTCCTCACCTGGGTTCCTTCGAATGTTTACTTTGGGTTGATTTATCTGGGCTTTCGCATACCATATTGGGTAACTAATTTTCAGGCAATAATGTACCATCTGCAGATGCTTTTCGACCCTATGATATGGCTGGTCAGTCTACGATAAACGCCTCGTACTGTTTTTGTATGCGAAATTGTAATTACACTGTATATTGTGCGACACGTGTATCGATCGGAAATGCTGATATAAAAAATTTCCTTTTTAGTGGAATAATTACAAATAACTATAAATTACGGGAGATGACAGGTTCTGTACTCCTTGTCTTATTTAATTTACGGAAAAGCATGTTCAAATCTGCTTTCGGCTAAATGTTGTTCATACGTTTTGCGCACATTCTTCGATTCGAGTCACTGAGCAATCAGGTATTGTAAAAATGTGAAAAGCAGCGGTACGTGTTATGTTTCGCTTGTACATCGAGAACTGTTTAATATTATTATTTACGTAGTATGAGCTTGCACAAGTACACAGATGCTCTTATTATTCTCATAAATACATATTATTACAATGGCACATGTACAGTTGTACTACATACCAAACAGTTCTCGACCTATTGCATTGGCATTCAGCAACGGTGTATTCGATATTTTGCAAAACAAACATGCAACGCGCAAGAAACCTAGCAGACAAATTTTTACACAGCATGCAACTTTAATTCGTTGACTGTTCCTTTAAGCCTTTTCCTTTTTTCGGTTTCAGTAGAATAATTCCGGAACAACTATTACCTAAGTCTGTCCAGCGTCCAGGAGCTAGATTTCTTAAGCCAAATTCAAGCTTAAAATTATTTTAAGTCCTGTATTTCCAGCTTAAAATCACATAAACCGGTCAAAACTGTTTGCATGGCTGTAAGAGGGATGCAAGTCCCAGAACGGCATTTGGATGCTAACGTGGAGTTTCACCCGGTAGACATCCGACCACCCTCTCACCTTACATGGTGGAGCTTCCTGAATATTTAGCCAGTAGATCTCGATATATCAGAATACGAAAACCGAATGTTCCAGGTTTCCAGTTCTGCATAGTCGTTGTTATAACAATGATTTTATTGATTTTATATGACGCATTCGTTCTTGGAATCTACCGGTAATTAGATCTGTATCATTTCCTATCACAATATTTTGGGTGTCGTATTATACAGTGCAAGCTTCGATTCGAGAAACCAACTACTGTCTGTCTTCAGGAGATGCAGTCTTCCGATGGAATTGCCCTGTGACCAGACTGGATCTGTAAAGCAATACCTTTAACCATTTCCGAAGCATGCCATTTTGTGGGTGCAGTCTCCCTTAATAATTGGCTAAATAATTCAATTAGTTTGAAAGCATTATGCTGACTTCATCAAGCTTAATAATTTAAGCAGCCTAACAGTTTAATTAATCATTTTGTAAACATTATTGTAACTTCGCGGTGCTCATAATTTAATTAGCTTGATGTTTTAATCGGTTTATAAACATCATTAAATTTTTGTGGAAATTCCGTACGAAAAACTGGAAATTAGGCCTTTGCGCGTACAACAGGCCGGCGGCGCGTGATCGGCGCCATATGCGAAATCGAAGGTGTATGCCTCACCGGTTCGAGCTTCCGATAGGCCCGCTTCCACCCGACTGCCCCCGTTATTGCGTTGAGTAACAGAACAGCTGTGACAAAGTTTTTACGAAATTTATATTAGAGCTGCATGCAGGCGTTGTAACGAACTACGACATAATCTTCCCAACTGAGCAATACTATCGCAGAAGCTTAATATTATGACTTTCCTCAACAACACTACGGCGCAGAACGCCAATCAGCCAGCCTCCGCACAACCCGGTTGGACTCCATTACTATTAGCATCAACCTTCATTTCCTGCGCATCCTTTATCTGCAATGCCATCATGTTATTTCTGCAGTTCCTCCCGAACACCCGGGTCACATCCTTTACCATTTACCTAATCGCCATCTCCTCGGGAATGTTTTATGGTTAATCGTCGTGCGCCCGCTGGCTATTTACAGCGCGGTCACGGGCGTGTGGCCCGGTGGTCATGCCGTGTGTGCCACGTATTCCTATTTCCAGTTTGTTATCAGTCAGATACCTGTGTTCGTCCATGTTCTCATATCCATCAACCGCCTGTGGGCGATCACATATCCCGTCTCATACCGGCAACGCCATCACACCAAGATGGCCGTTTTATTATGCCTGGCAGTGGTGGCATACGTCCACGGTCCGCAGTTTGCCAGGTTCATATTGGAATTCTTTTATTACAGTACTCCGGTTAAGCCAACTGGCTGCCAGCCCGGTGCCGGAGGGATACTGATTTGGCGACGCATCGTTGCCGTGCTCCACCGTGCCGTTCCTTGTATTCTGGTTTTAGCTGTTTATGTTCATATAATTTTCAAAAGGTGGCTGAAGAAACGCGAACGGCAGGCTTTCAATCCAGCCGGTGGATCAGAAAGGTCACCTGGGATGGTGCGGCATTCGGCAATTACGCGGCGACAAGTGAAGCCATTCGTCATTCTTACTGCTACGACAATAACGGTTCTCATTACCTGGATTCCTGCGAATGTTTACTGGGGGTTGATTTATCTGAACTTTCGGTTGCCATATTGGGTGTTTTAATTTAACATCGACGATTTTCTCTCTGCAAATGCTTTTCGACCCTATAATATGGCTGGTCAGCCTACGATAAACACCTCGTACTGTTTTTGTACTCGTAGCCGAAATTAAATTATAATATTGTCCTATACGAGTATCGATTGGAAATGGTGAAAATATTGATAAGAAATCTCCTTTCTGGTGAATCGACGGTGTCGATCTTTGATAAAGCTATCCCCAAAGCCTTTATCAGAATTCCGAAAACCTTGAAAATTCACCACAATCCGTTGTTTTCTAATTGAGCACTTCTATAGGTATACACTACATGAACAAACCAAACATGTTTCGATCTCTACCATTAGCATTCAACATCGATGTATTCCGTGGTTCACAATCAGCATTTTGCACAACAAAAACGCAATGCGCACATGAAATGTCGTATTGTTAAAGAAACAATAATTCCTGGAACAACTAGTCAAGGTGTCCATGAGTTAGATTTCGCAAGCCCAGATTTAAATTAAAAGTTATTTCGGTTCTTTTAAGCTTTTAAAAGCCACATGAGCGGGTCAAAAACTGTTTGCAAAGCTGTGAGAATGATGCCGACGTGAAAAAACCAGACCGGCTTTTGGAAGACGGCGGACATCGGCGGGAAGCCAGCACATCAGCACGACATCGTCAGCACCAGAAACGGCCTGACCTTTCGTTGCCAGTCACCTGCACGCTTCCTTTTGAATCGGCGTGGCCTCAGTCCTGCTACAAGGATTCCATTAGCCTCAGTACCACTACAGTCCGCTTTGTTTGCTCCAGCGTTGGTTTCGTCGCAGCCGCGCGCCTTTTCTTCCAGCGCTTTAGTGTCATATACATATAAATTCCGATCACCAGCAACAGCGGAATAAACCGGTGCAGAACGATTGCCATGCGGGCTGCAGTAGAAGAAATCTTGGAAAAAAAAAGAAAACCGCACAAAATGGACGCAGGCCACAGTCCCCAGACACAGTAACGCCGCCGTCTTTTGTCCGTGATGTCGCCGGTACGATTGGAAGGCTCAAAGACGGCTCATCGAGATGAGGACGTGCAGGAACACTGGAATTTAATCAGCATGAACACAAATTGTCTGCAAATGTACCGGATGCAGACTGGTTGGCGGGCAGGCGCCATGCAGGGTGTTGACTCGCAACACCTCTAAACCGGGCAGGTTACTGAAGCAGATAAAAATCCATTAAGTAGTGATGGATGTGGCAATAATTGCAGCAGCACCATACCGATATTTAAAAAAATACTTTTGTAACAGAAGCGATGGCGGTGGCGGTAACTTCCCAGTATGGGATTCCAGCCGCCGGGTCGGATAGTGCCGGGCTGGGTGGCATTGATGCATAATTACCAGCTTCTATCGTCATTAAAGCGATTCCAAAACCGAATGTCTAACAAATACATTAGGAAAATGTTGATAACCGAACTCGAAATCGTTGCGGTGCGCTGGTATTTGCAGATACATGGCGATATTCACAAAATCTAATTTTCGCGCTTAGTCGATTAGCAGATGCAACCAATCACGTTAGAAACTGATCAGTCTGTTTTAATTGTTTCCTGAGAATTTTTGTTGTTTACATCTGAGTGGAGCCGGAATTTCGGGATCTGAGGATGTAATCCGAATGGACGATAAGAAAGGTATAAATTTACTTCCTATGTGAATTTCAATTAGCAGAAAAAAATATCAGCCTAAAGATGACGCACATGCCACAGCGTGTGATGTTAGGCTGCAGCTGTTGTCGAAATATTCCAGGCTTAACCACACTCCCTTTCGGCGCCAAATAATTAGACATTCAACGACAACTATCATGCTGTGTGACCTTCTCGACAACAGCAGGGGTTGCACCATGAACAGAAGAAAAAACTAACTAGTGATCACTTTGAGCGGAATTTGTGAAGAAAACTGGACTTATGACGCATGATGTTGCAGATATGAAGAGAGAATGATCCGGTCACTGCTGTTGAGTTGAAATGCATAAATGTCTTACAAATAATTATACGTAGGGATTAAGCCTGTTCAGTTAGGCGTCAGCAAAATCAGTTTCCTGTTTATGCTCAAGACTATAAGTGAAATACATGTCCCGCCTTCTCCCGTTCTTCGTTAAGCACGTCCTCCCCACAAGAGTTCAGTTTATGTGGTGTTCTGCCTACATTAATTTGCTCTTTCAGTTACAGACTTGCAGTTACCGGTTATGACCTAAGCAGGCTAATCCGAAAGAAGGTAAACCGTGCTTCTTTTAAAAGCTGCCCTGTATACGTGCTCCGGCACATTCGAAAGCTCAGCATTCAGCGTTACGAAACCAGTATACGCGACATCTGAGATTTTGCAAGTTAATTACAACTATGACATGTAAAAGTGTAGTGGTTAAAGGTCATCCTGACGTTGTTGCTATTTCAGGCACTTTAAAAGTGGCTGGCATTACTGCTTTCGCGGACCACGTACCTATTCCATACATCCGATCCCTCGCCTTCACTACTCTTGTAACAACTATCGTGCACCTTTTATCGCTTTCTGGAAAAAGTGACAGTGGCGTAAGCACTTGTGTAATCAAGCTTATTAACGTATAAACTCGATTAACAGCGTTGAAATCCGTAAAACGAGGCTAATTTGATCAGCTCATCATTGCATCAGCGGAATATAAGACGACGACCATGTGATGGATGTGGTGGAATGCTGGCATCAATTTCCTGATTTCCTACGACTAAATGTCACCGGATTTTGGAACATGCCAAAAGTATTTAACGGCCTGCTGCAGGACATGTGAAGGTCAGGTATTCCTTTTGCAAATACATTCTCGTAAAACCGTCTACATGGACGTTGACCTTTGATGCGAGTTCTCCAACTTTTCCATGGTGAACGGATCATTGAAAAATGAATTCTTCATACAACACCACAATTATCTTCAACACCACCCAGCCCGCATCCTCACCACCGGGCTGGACTCCCGTCCTGATCATGATGGCCCTCATTGCTGGTATCTCCTTCTCACTAAACTCCGTAATGCTCCTGCTGCAGTTCCTCCCGCAAACCCGTATCACATCCTTCACCGTGTACCTGATTGCCATATGCATCGGGAATCTCGGTTATTTAGGCATCGTCCGACCAATCGGGATTATGACCTCGGCAACGGGAGTGTTCCCCGGTGGTTACGCATTATGTATGTTCTACATGTACGTGCAGTTTATCATCTGTCAAGTCCCGGTACTGGTGCACGCTCTCATCTCCATCAACCGCTTTTGGGCGATCCGCTACCCGGTATCTTACCGGCATCGTCATCATAAAAAGATGTCCATTCTGCTCTGCGCCAGCGTGTTCCTGTACGTGCACTTGGTGCAGTTTCCCATGTTCATGGTGGAATACTACATTATCAGTCCAATCAAGAAAGGTTGTCAGTTGACCGGGGCAGCGTGGATGCCCTGGCGCAACGCCGATATTGTTCTGCATCGCTTCATACCGCTGATTCTGGTCATCGGGATCTACATCTACATTATTGTCAAGAAATGGAAAAAGAAGCGCACTATTGATCACCACGAAATGAGTGTGGCTTCCACGCAGAATGGCACTGCGTTTACGAAGGCTGATATTGTTGAAGACGATGATGAAAGAGCCGGCGCGAAGAAGCTTAAAGGGAAGAATTCCCGTGGGAATAAGCGGGCAGTTAAGCCTTTTGTCGTGTTAACGATGACCTCGGTTTCCGTGCTGCTGTGCTGGATTCCGGCGGATGTATACTGGGCGATGCTGTACCTGGGATTCCGCTTGCCCGCCTGGGCATACACAATTGTCAGTACTTTATACAGTCTGCAAATGATTTTTTGATCCTCTGATGTGGATGATTAGTCTGAAATAACCAAGGAACGCCATCTGCAGTTTTCATAACTTGTGCATTTGTTGATTATTAAAATTATAAGAATGACTTGTGTCTACTACTGAACGGCAAACCTTTTCAGTAACTCATATGAGCACGTTTCAGTTACATGGATCACAGATATTTAATGATGCGTTCCTTTAAATTTCTCACCAGTGTTTTCGTAACCTCTTGTCGCGCGCCGATTGAAACACTTGACATCTCTGGAAAAGGGTGCAGTTTATGGTGCGGGTAAAAATAGATAGGTTCATTGCGACCGTTAAATAAACCTCATTAATCGTTGAAAATTTAGGGTAGCGTATGCAGTGTGGTTCTGTAGAATCGGGGCCCGAGATGACGTATTGTGATGACGGTGTGCTTTTGCTTTCATTAATTTTCAAGCAAAAGCTTACAGTACAATATAGCGATGATATTTGTTCACTGTGCTGCTTTTATCGAACCCTTCCGTTCTTTGCGCTTTCGGGAAGAATGTTATTTCTTATACTAACTAAAAGCGCAAATTAAGGCAGATATGTATGTGCAATAATCAGTGCATTACTGGTAATTTCAAACGTGAGTATTGAATATCTTACTGGAATGGTTGGTTAAATGAAAGGTTTTATATGACAAGGTATACACAAATCTGGGACATTTTTCATGGAACTAATTACGCGATGTAATTCAACCTGCAGTGTTATCACGGACGACGTCACGAGGCAATACGAACAGGCATATACGACCTGTGCAATTCTCCTGTACCTCTAAAGTTCGAAGATAATTAAGTAAACGCTTAAAATAGCGGGTTCCCTTCTGTTCAGAGCAGTAGATTAGCTAAAAATGATGAAGCACAAAATAATTTCTAACCCATTATATAAAAGTAGAGCCCTCAGGTCAACTAATAAAATAATGTTAATTTCGGTATGATTTATCCACCACTTTACGAAACTACCAACCCAAAGCCTTGCAACCATTTATGTGTACGTGCCATAGGCAAAGAAAAGCACGATCAAGCGATTTCAACATTGCAGCGATATTACTGCATTCTCTCGCATTATCTCATGCTAAAAAGCCACATTAACGGATCGAATACGATTTGCACGGAATATAAAAACGACGTCACATTGTGCACCCATCCGGGCGGTGGCATGTTCACATAAACTAACGCCCAGTGCACATCAGCGGGTACCCAGCAGATTAGCATTAATCGAGGTCAAGGTTAACGACAAACGGTTTAACTTTGCGTCGCTTGATTCCGGACCGGTATCCAGTGGTTGGCGCGTAGTCTCCGGCATTTTTGTCAGCAACCATCGGCTTACTTGAGTTATCATTGGGATCCGTTGACTGGCGTGCGTCTCCGGCCTGTTCACCTACACGACCTTTCCTCCATCGTTTCAGCATGACGTAGACGTAAATCACCAGAATAGTTAAAAGTGGGATCATCCGGTGCAGAATAAAATCCACCAGCCGCCATGCCACGATGGCTCCCGCTCCCGGCTGGCAAGTGGTGTAATCTTTAGCCGGAGCATGGTAAAATTCCACCAGCATCACGGGAAAGATCAGGATGTGCACGTAGGCCATCACGGCGATACAGAGCAAAACAGCGACGTTTTTATTATGACGCTGCCGATACGACACGGGATGCGTGACCGCCCATAAACGGTTAACAGCGATCAGAACGTGTACTAGCACGGGAATCATGCTGACCACCATCTGGGAATACACGTAGAACGCACATACGGCTTGACCGCCGGGAAAGCGGCCGGTGACGAAATTGAGAAAACCAATGGTGCGCGTAGGCAGCAGAACGACAATGTTGCCGATGGAGATGCAGATTAAATAGATGGTGAAGGCAGTGACCTTGGTTTGTGGTAGCAACTGAAGCAGTAGTATCGTAACGTTCAGTACAACGGATATACAGGATAAACATAGTTGGGCGATTAACAGAGGCGTCCAGCCGTATGGCGTTACAATGGGCAGCGTAGTGTTAGTAAGATATTTTATTGTGGTGTTGCTGAACGCCAGGGCGTTCATGTTTGTCGCGCTCCTGGTCCGAAATAATGCAACAATATTTCAATGAATATGACTATTTAATTTATCCCAACTTACGAGAGCTTACATATAAACATCTGCTAGTTTAGCGACGACGATTTAAGAACAACAACAGATCAAATCCAAAGCAAGGTTATTTTGCTGCAATCAACAATAAACCAAGTTGGTGCCACGTGACAGTAATATTTTTATGTGAATCGAGACTTTCGAGTTATAATATGTAGAGAGTACTATGCTGCAGATTTCCGTGATCAGCATTTGCCTCCTGATGAAAGATCTGCAATGCGGCTTACTGTAACAAATACTAATAAGTAATAAGCAATATGTTTTAGCGGATAATGCACAGATAAAACGCCAGAGTGAACATTATGACCTTGTACTTTATGAATTACGTCTCGTCAGAACCAAATTACTGACGCAAATTAATGGCAATTTTCAGTTTCCTTGAAAGGGCATGTTGAATTCCAACTGCATGACAAGATTCAATTCTGCAAAACAGGATTATTGTTACTTAGGTCGCACGCAGTATCACATGCCCACCGGAAATTAAACGCAGTCTAAGCAAAATTTTACTGCGAACATATTTGTTTACGGGTAATACAAAATAATTATTCTCAAGAACAAAATTAATGTTGTGTCAAAGCATGTGATAAAGTTCCGAAACTATTTAGCGGTGTTATCTGTACCTGCTGTTGTACTGTAGTAGAGTGATCTCGAGCAACCGTGTTTCGTTATCGTGCCAAGTTCAAACACATGCGCTGTTGAAAATCGCTAATTAACGATGTTTAATTTTTTATCGTGTTTAGCATTAAAATTACCGAAAAAGTAGGTGTTTTAGTGGTGATTACGGCTATCATACCGAAGGATATATAAAGTAAATGAGCTACTGGAGTGAAATGACCTTTGCATAAATGAAAATAATTGCGCATGTAAATTACTATCAAAGATCAGTGAGAGAACTGCTCAAAAGAGAACAATTAGAGAACTGCTCAAAAGCCGCAGCTTGATTGCATAGTTAAGCACATACACATTCAATATCAGATTTATTTCGTTGCATAAAAGCGCGGCAGCGGTGACAATAATAAAATTCATAAACAGGAAGTGGCTCGAGAAAACCAAGCGCAACCTCATGCGATCGAAAATGCAGCAAATTTCACGCTTCGAGCATAAAATCCTAACGGATACTAAACAACCACATTAACGGATCAAAAACCATTTGGATAGAAGACAAGGTCCCAATTAAAGTGGCGACCCACCAAGGCGGTCGCGCGTTCATATAAATCATCGCCCAGTAGACATCCGGTGGAATCCAGCAGACGAAAACAGTAATGGATGTTAAAAGTCAGCACTAAATACGGTTTCACTCTCCGTCATGATTCATCGCGGAATGCTGTGGTGCCGGCGCTCGTGCCCTTGTGCAGTACTCTCTCCGGCTGTCGCTTTTGTCGTTGAAGTGGCATTATGCTCCGTTGATTGATTCGATCTTTCAATCTGCTGGTCGCCCACTCTCTGTCTTTTTCCATCGCTTAACGATCCATAAATATACGTTCCAAGAATTACCAGCGGAATTATTCGGTGAAGCACGAAATCAGCGCGCCGCCATTCGAGAATACCACCCGACCCGCCTTGCAGACAAGCTGATTTTCCGGCTGGAGTGTATAAGAAGAATTCCACCATAAACATGGAAAAATGAATCACGTGGACGTAGGCCACGGCACCGAGACACAACAAGATAGCCGTCTTTTTCTGTGCTTCTGACTATATGAGACAGGATACGTGACCTCTTCCATAAACGGTTGACAGAGATCAGGACGTGCATCAGTACCGGAACCATACTGGCCACAAATCCGCCGTAGACGTAAACGCACACTGCCTGACCACCGGGAAATTCCCGTCAGGTCGTCATGCCGATGGGGCGCATGGTCACTAGAATGACGATTATGGCTGATGGAGATGAAGATCAGGTATATTGTGAACGAAGTCACCTGCGTCTGCGGAAGGCACTGCAGAATCAGCATCATGCCATTTAGTCCGACGCCCGCGCATGCTAATACGAGCTGTGTGATGACCAGTGGAGACCAGCCTTGTGGAACGGCTTGCGTTAAAAATACAGTTGCATTACGATGAATGATACTGGTGTTATTCATCGCTGCCGTTTTCTCTTGCCGGTGTAAAACGAAGAAGGAGGAAATGCCGACTAAAATATTTTCAATTGTATAGCTTCAACCTATGCTAAATTATAACTGGATTTTAAAAGTTCCGACTGTTCGGAATCTAGAACTATAGGAACAGATTGGGAGCGCACATGAGCGCTTAGAATAATAGCAATCTGACCTTTGCGCGCTTAGAAAAGCAATCTGACCCAATCTGACCTTCTGAATAGCAATCTGACCTTTGAAAAAGCCGAGTTCCTACTGAAACCATAGTTTGTCTCCGGTGTGCTGTCTTTTATCGCACCAAATTCCCTTCTAGCCGATACAAGATGTTTAATTATTTCCAGTTTAATTGCTATTTCCAATTAGATGCTGGACAGTGTATGCCGGTTTTTTCATAGAAAAGTAATCGTTAACGCGAGATGTAATACTGATTTGCTGCATACAGACAGACATGTCGATGAGATACTCTGTCACTGAAGGTCATTTTTTTCATTTCCTGTTTTCAGGAGCAGCAATAACATGTTTACACGATCCAGGGAATAACACGTTCAGTCTACGACCTACTATACGCTGCTCTTCATTAAATTTCTAATTAAGTATTATGGAAGTCAATGGCGTATCTGAAATCTATCCCGGTTTCAGTTGTTTAGAGTATTTCAAAATAAACATGCTTCTCACAGTGGTATTACTGTACAGGTTTTAAGTAGTGAAGAAGCAGAATGCAATAAACAGCGTCACATACGTCACATACGTCTGTACCACCCGACCACGAAAAACGTTTTATTAGATACAGTATCTAAAACCAGTAAACACTTTAAATACCAATGACAGTCGCAGACGTCATGGCATGTTAACGGCATGATTCACCGTCTCCGGCGTTCTGAGGTTGAACTCGATTTTAGCGTTACTCTTCCTGACTCAATAATTAGATTAGACCATATAAATTTCTTCAGGTGACTAATTAATTTAGTTCGCTTAAACTACATCACATGTTAAAGCTGAGAGCGTCATTTTTGTACGACTGGTGCATCAGCTGCTACCGTTACTGGAAAGCAAAAGAGAGGAACCTTTTCTGATGGAAAAAGTAATTACTGGTGATTGCTAAAATGATCCGCATTTTTTCCGAAACAGCAATTGCGTCGTAGAAGCTTAGTGTAACCGAAGGTAATTAAGGACAGTTATTGACGGGAAAGACTTTTAGCTGTATTATAAACAGTCGACAAAGGCAGACCGTCGAGAGCATCTAGAAATTCACGAGTACTACTTTGTATTAGCTGTTTTTCGTCTGTTCTACTTCTGCTTGTTCAAGAGAGGGTTGTAAAGCAAAATGTGTGACCTCATAGGCAATGCAGTTTTCAGTAAACGTCACAACCAAGATAACGCCATTCGCCATATACACGGACAGATGCGCTAACTCCAGAATTGCAGTTCACTGTATCTGTACGCACTCTGCAGTTTCCCGATTTTTTTATGCTAGTTGCATAATTATGTAGTTAGTGTTAGTTTTACAGTACCATTAGTTATAAAATTTCTTCATTGTCAAAAGTTCATCATTTGTTTCAAATGCTTTGCTCGTGCAAAGAATATAATTCTGTGTTATCGATGCCGATATTCAGCAACATTCTTCGTGAAACGACGGTAAGTAGCGAAGTTCAATGCATTACATGGTAAAAGGCGCCTGCATGTTCTACATAATTTGCATCGGGCGCCGTGAGATGCTGCAATTAAACCTTCGTCAGGACCAAAAATTTGTCTTGTAGACAAGAAAAGCGTTCCGTTACACTCCTTCAATCTCTACAAACCCAAAACCAACGGGGGGAGCGATAACAGGCTCGGTCGTGCTGATATGTTTCCCAACCACCAGCTAGTTGGGATCATACAACTGCTCTTGCCTTGTGCGCTTGTGGTGCTAAGTCCATGCTGATCGTGTAGTTCTACCAAAAGCGCATCATATACCTGGTCGAAATCGCGACACAGCGCATCGTGATGCAGATTGTCACAAACCGTTCGGAACTTCGGCTTAAGAACTACGTCACCAGAACAGCGATCAGACACATCGCGCTTTCTAACGTAAGTACAAACTTTAAAGTTAAGAAAACAAACGAACAAAGATTAAAATCAAACTACCGATGGCGGTGACTTTACAGCGTAACTGAAACCTTTGCATTTCGTTTCATATTCAATAAAAGACATATTTGCAAGCTCTTATTACAGCCGCAGCTTAAATCGATGGTCAACCGTATACAGACCACTTTGTATCAGAATTAAAGGAGCACAACCAAAAATACAGTAGAATTGTAGCATGACATTCTATCGCATACTAAAGAAACCACATCAAAGGATCAAATACCATTTGGACGGAAAACAATGTCCTCATTCTTGTACCACCACGGTGGTCGAGCGCTCATGTACGTCATTGCCCAGTAGACATCCGGCGGAATCCAGCAGACGAAAACGGTAATGGATGTTAAAGGTCAGCACTAAATATGGTTTCACTCGCCGGCGCCGACCTACTTGCCATGGTGGCGAAGTGCTCGTGCCACTGCCGAGCACTGTCTCCCTGTGGTCGCTCGTGTAGTGGAGGTGGTATTCTGCTCCGCGGATGGATTCTTTTCAATCTGCTGATTCCCAACCCTCTGCTTTTCCATCGCTTTATGATCACATAAACGTACGTTCCGGAGAATGATTAGAAGAGGAAGCACTCGGTGAAGGACAAATCAGCGCGTCGCCATGCAATGATACCACCCGCCGAAACTTGCTGACAGGCCTTGGATTTTCCTGGTGGAATGTAATAAAAAAAATTCCACAGAAAAAAAGAGGAAATGA